GATGCATCAGTGCCACAAGCATTTTCATATTCACAAAACGATCACGATTCAAATGAAAAACTCTCTTCTTCAAGTGATGAAAGTGTAACAACTGATTTTGATTCACATATTTCTCCTGAGCCCTTCAACCATTAAGAAATTAACGCATTGGTCAGGGACCTTGCCCTTTCTAAGAAAGCATCAAAGATTCTAGCTATTCAATTAAAAAAAACTGTCAACTCAAGAAAAAAAAAATTCGTACTATCCGCACATAGAGAGATTTACTCACATTCTTTTCTGAAAATGATGACTTTTTTTATTGTTCAGATATTCCGGGTTTATTAAAAGTAATGGGAATTGACAAATATGACCCTTATTTATTGATTCCTTTAAATGTAACCTAAAATGTGTGCTTATGCATAACGGCAATAAGCTGGGTTCGTTATGGATAACACTTTCAACTAAAGTCAAAGAAGCATATGAATATTACTGGAGTTTTTTCCCAACACCAAATCGTTATTTTAACACCTCGACACGTGTTTCGATCACCAAGTGATCATCTTCAAGAAGAAGATTAAAATCAGTTTAATCTTCCTCTTGAAGATGATTAAAATCAGTTCAATCTTCCCCTTGAAGGTGATCACTTGGTGATCTAAACACGTGTCGAGGTGTTAAAATGATGATTTGATGTCTTGAAGATGATCACTTGGTGATCGAAACACGTGTCGAGGTGTTAAAAATAACGATTTGGTGTTGGGAAAAAAACTCCAGTAATATTCATTACTACACCAAAGGTTCGAAACAGTGCGTCACAAGTAAAGAAGTATATGCTACGGTGGCTTCTGTTATGTGGGGAAAATCAAATACCACTTACGCAAGTGGCTCATTTGTATAGATCTAAACATGGTGAATTTTCTGCTCGGACAACAAGGAGGCTATACAAAATATCCTTGTTTTAAGAGCTAAGTCTCAGCCCTGGGTTCAAAAAGACTGGCCTTCCAGGCAAGTTATGGGTCTGGGGAAACTGAATGTAATAAATGAACCACTAGTGCCTAGGAATCGAATAATACTGCCGCCTCTGCATATCAAAGGTTGAAACTTTAATAGTTATATAACTGATATGGAAAAAAACGCCTGGAATGAATTCGTCTGATTACCAAAATTTTCGACAAAAAGGATGAAAGCTATGCTGATCGCGTTGAAAAGATATTGTCGCACTTTCAGCAGCTTGGTTATAATATGAGTATCAAGGTACACTTCCTACACAGCCATTTGAACTATTTTCTTGAAAATATTGGTGGTCTGAGTGAAGAACAGGGGAAACGGTTCCATCAAGATATTTGAATGATAGAGGAGCGATACAAGGGTCACTGGGATGCCCACAAGACTACTATTGGAAATAGCCCTTGTAAACCAAATCGAGCAAGAAAACCCAATAAAAGATTTTTGTATGAATAATGCTTGTTTTTCTAATGATCGTTATATCTCAAAAACTAAAGCTGGTACAGATCTAAAACCAGCACCCCGAAAATGTATAATATTAGTCATATTTCATTCAAAAAAACTCTTGTTTCCTTGTGTTATATTTGGAAAAATGCGCTTGAGAAATTTATTCCATAGACGCCGTTCATTAAACAAAAAAGGTTCACACTTCCCCACAAATGTAGTGAAAAGCGTACAAAATCTAAAGTATATGTTGCGTCTATATCAGAGCTTATTCCATAATGTAAGAAATGAAATTGCAAATAAACTTCGTTATTGTCAAGAATTGAATGATGAACATATTAAATATCCAATGGGATAAACTTGAGTGAGAATTGAATACATATTTTCTTGAAATTATTATATTCAACGTTTGTTAGCATTTTCTGAGACAAGTAGCATCACACCATTGTCTTTTTTCTCCAAAAAATGTTCAGTATTTATATTCATTATTATTTGTTTACTCTCTCATTTACCCTGTATATAATTATATTTAGTTTGATGTTCAGTTGTTGTAACTAAAACAAAAAAAAAACAAAAACTTTTTTGACTGACATTGAATTTCAATATTTCGTTCTTCGAGACCGGATTTAACTTAGATATTCCAGGTAAAATACAACAAAAAGTACTAAAAGTGATACGTTTTTATGTAAATTTAGTCCAACCTTGATATCTTTTCCTGGTCAAAAGTTAAGAGGAGTTTTATATGTCAGCTCTGCATACATAATAAATGTTTCAAAAAAGATCGAATATGATCTTTATAATACATCAAAAGTTAATAAGATGCGTACAACTTATGTATTCGAAATAGAGTATCTCTTTTGCCAAAACGTGATTGTGAAAAGACATATTCCAGTTCCAGAATGAGAAATGTCTTGTCTGCATTATTATTTATTTCCCTACCATACACAAACATATTTACAAAATTCCTCAGAAGGGAAGTAACATATATTGGTCGTTTAATAACAAAGTAAAGCCGAATACCAAAAAAGTTGATTGCATTATGAATTTCCCAAAAAAAAATCCTTCCTCGGTTCAGCCGGATACAGAAGATTCATCCCAAATTTCGCTTGAATATCAAAACAACTAAAAAATTACTTCTAGAAGACAACCCTTTTATTTTCGGTAACGAATGGAAAAATTCATTCACAGAACTGAAACAAACACTTGTGAAGAAAAGAGAAATGAAACTTTCTATGTTTTTTACCACTTTTATTTGTAACTTAACTTTACTGCAGTTTCGTCCTATACGGACATTTTCAAACTTATACATTAAACTTTCGTTTATTGTTGTAGTAACGTTAGTTACACGTAGTAACGGCTACATCCATCAATTTATACAAACACTTGTTTCTACCCCAATATTTACCACGGACGCGAACGTATTTGGCAAATACTTGCCCATTGCCTTCGCATCACGAACTCTCTGTTTAGTGGACGCTATGCTTGTCAAAAAAACATATCGCATTTCAGAGAGGAATTTAATAATAATAATTCATTATTTGATATGATTTTAATTCAGGGTCACAGTATGAACACATTTACTCACGCAAATTTCTAAAACCATACGTATCAAATTTCAAGAAATTGCACTCGACTCGGAAAGATTTCGTCGTTTTCTCATTGACGGAATTATATCGAAATTCAAATCGATAACTAGAAATTTAGACGCAGCCAATGATAAATTTTACACCAACTCAGCTAAACAGGTTAAATAACGACGAATATCAATTAAAGAATTTATTTAAAAACCAAATATCCGTTACTAAATGTTATTCAAAATTGTAATGCGATTATAAGAAATTTTCAAATTGACAAAAAAAAATACGTTTATTGAAGACATTAAAGTTATAGAACAATCAATAATAGTTTGAGTTCAAACAGTGTTTATTGGTTGAATCAGTCCTTTTAACTTAATATGGTCCTAGGGCATATTGCCCACCTAACAAATAAAATAAAAAATCAAAAGAAATAACTTTCCATTATTTTGTAGAAAATAAAATGAAAAAAGAGTGTGTTTCCATTCATGAGCCCATGATTTGCAACATAGGCATTGAATCCATATGTCGCCCCTGTTATTCATGGAATTAAGATCATCACAGTATAAACACTTGGCATCAGAAAAATTGCTCCTATCTGAACTTTTGCCAGAACTGTCATCATACAAAGGCTCATTTTCTTCCTCGGAACTAAACAATTCTACCTACTTAGATTTTGATTCCGCCTTTTAACCTTTGCTATTTCCTTTATTCACAGTCTTTTTGATTTGGTCTTGTGTCTTTTCAAAAGAGTGTTGCAATTCATTTTTGTACGGGTCGACCCAGCAGCCTTCCTGCCTCGGTTATTAGTTTTTCTTTTGGTATCGGGGACAATTCAAATGGCGTTGTAAGGTTCTGATCTCTTGAAGTAGATGACTATGATGGGAACTACAAATTGTCTAGAACATACAGGCGGTGTTTTGTTCTCGTCTCTTGAAGAATTAGTCATGTCAACAGGTACATTTTCTATTGCAGGAGTAGATAACGAATTAGTTGGATCTGGTGTAATACTTTCTTGGTGCTCATTATCAATATTAATAAAATCGTGATTTCTAAATACAATTATGTTAACAGTATATAACCCTGTTGCACGAAAACCACTGCCAGTACACTGACGGTACACTTTCTGGGTTAGTATAGCATCACGTCGCTCAATTACTACATCTAAGAATGCTATTCACTGGTCCTGTTCAATCTCCATGGTAAACTTGATGCTTGAGTGTTGAGCGTTCAAGTGGTCTAGGAAAAAGTTCAGAGCGTCCCTTTCATGTTTCCAGATGACGAAGGTGTCATCCACGTAACGTAGCCACAAGGTCGGTTTTAATTGAAAGGTGTTAATTGCTTTGTCTTCAAAACGTTCCATGACGTAATTGGCTATCACTGGGCTAAGTGGGCTATGGTGCGTCACTGTTAAAAGATATAGATTTGACTTCAACCCAATAGTATTTTTCAGTTTACTTTCACAGGTATTTTGTATATTTGTCTGTGTTTCAGTTGAGTTTTTCCTGTCTGTTTTTTCTCTACTTCTTTTTGTAGCGAGATGACTTTACATCGAAAATGTTTTGTTCCTCCATAGATTTATTCATGTTTTCTTCCATTTCTAAAACCTCTCTGGTGATGGTCTCTTCAGTAACTTTCAGTAATCTTTCTCTTTTGTGCCATTTCATCTGTGAGGTTGGTGATTATTTCTTCCAATTAAATGTTATCCTGCAGTTTTTCTGGTGCTCCAGAACATGTGATTAAATGATTTTATGTACGTGATTTGCTTATTATTTCTTCTTAGGCAACTTAGCTGATACACGTTAAAGCATTTTATACATATATAAGGACCAATCCAGCGCAACCTTGGGGGGAAAAATAATAATGATATAATAACAATTATATCATTTCAAGGGTGTATGTAACTCACTTATAAGTAAATGTGAATCAATATTCAATCATATTCATATCAAAACATCAAAGATACAATATAAGTGAAAAAGTAATATTTTTTAAACATACCTGAGTCACAACAAAAGATCCTTTCCAACTGAACAAAGGCTTGTGAAACATCAAGAACTGCAACCTCAGTTTTCCCATATCATCAGTTACCCGAAAAGAGTCGGCTAATGTTGTAAGCCAATTAACCACTTCTTCATTTGCATAAGTTATCAGTCCTTGCCCAAATTGGTGTTTGCCTTCCATAACAAAATTGAGTATACCCTTAACTGAGTTCTCTGTCAGTAGAGTCTCTTCATCCAAATGAACAACCCAATCATTATCACTTAAAATGTTAACTTTATCTTCAAGACAATACTGCAGGGCACGAGCTTTGAATAAAGCACCACTTTTTGTACGGTAACTTGATGGTACAACAACTTCTCGAATGCGTCTGTGTTCATCCAGCCCAATAGGTTTATCAGATACAACTTCAATCAAAAAGTTTTCCATACCCGCATCCAAGCACTTATTCATATTTCTATTTACATTGTTTTTAACAAGCTGTGGAAAATCTCCCCTTGTTACCACTCTAATACATATGAAAGGAGCCAAAAGAGGAGATCCTTTCAAGACTACCTTATCAGGAAAAGCATTATAAAAAGTGAGTCCTACGAAATTAAACAAAACTTGGGGTAATGGTAAAAACGTCATCAATCGCAACAAATACAGCAGCGATGCACCCAATATTCCATACTGAACCCAAGGGTTGATTTCTGTAGCCGGTACAAACGCTCCTCCTTCTAATACTTTTATACCACCGGCAAATATTTCAACAATAACTATTACAGTAAAGAAGAGAAGACAATGGAGGTAGTGCTTTGTTTTACTGGAAAGCATTGTTTTCTGGAAAAGTTTTTCACTAATAAATAAAAACAGTCCACCCTTTCACAGTATTTTACACATTAATAATCACTGAAACTTATTGAAATATATACAAAAACCATCTGATGTTTCTATTGGTGAGCCGGCTGCATTTAGTTGTTTATATTTTGAATGTCAAACCAACAGTTTGGCTCGGCATTCCCAGCAGCTACACCAACACCACTTCGACTGACAAAACTTCAGCCTAACCTAGAGTCTAAATTCTACTCAGTGAATCAGTGATCATCAGATGCTTTACCAGGGTACAGAACTGGATGGTGCCGTACGAATTGCCAACTTCGAAATTTAATTAAAAATTACTACCTCTCAAATTTCAATCATTTGACTTGGTTAAGATAGAATAAGGCGTAATATATATAAAAGAATAGTTTTTTCTAATCATTTCACTTCTATTAGTAAATTCTATCAAAAATGGTTTTATGAATTTTTTCAGTGTTGGCACCATTTGATATCATAAAAAATGACCATTATGTTACAGGCAGATTTGATTGTATCGGGCAGTAACTTCTTTTGTATTTATGATAAAAACTTGAAAGTCATAGTTATATCTAAGATGTCTAAAAACCCTGGTGCATCTACTCATACCTGCAAAAGTTTGGGGTAAAATGAGGGATTTATGGCTAACTTGATTAGCAGAGATCAACGCCGTTTACGCCGTTTCAGATGGCGCAAGCAGTCATTACAGTAAACTGTAATGATAAGACCACACAGGGTGTATTTGTATTTATATTTAATTCCACATTCATTTTTCATACCTACTGTGCTTTTAGGAATATATCTAAGATGTCTAAAAACCCTGGTGCATCTACTCATACCTGCAAAAGTTTGGGGTAAAATGAGGGATTTATGGCTAACTTGATTAGCAGAGTTATATCAAAATGGTTAAGACTTTTGCAGCCGAGGTTTTCAGTGTAACTCTTTTCCGAGTTTGAAAGCCGTGGATTTTTGAACTTTCTTCCTAGCGTATTGCTGGCTAGCTTCCTCAGAGGTTTATATATCTTGAGTTTATATCTCCGATAACTGGATATTACGGCTGCGTAAGGCATATTTATGTTGCCTCCTAAGGTAGTTTGATGTGCTAATAGCTGTGCCTGGGTGGTAAATTACGTAAAGCGTCTTTATGTTGATCCAGGTAGACTAGTGTAATAATATCTGTACCTGGATTTGGTAAATTGTCAATAACGTCCGTGGCAGGTAGAAAAGGGTCGAGACAAGTGTCAAAGGAGGATATTGTTTACCAAAGAATTTTATGGCGTTCTTACACAAGAAGTAATAAAAACATATTATCGCCAACTGTAACTAGCGATTGAGACAATTCTGCAATTGGTTGAAGAAGACGGCCCAAAGTTTCTACTAGCTGTTGATACTGTCAAAAATTCATCATACGTTGATGATATTGTAACCAGTTGCTCTTCCTAAAAACAAACGCAAACGCTCAAAGCGCAGCTTATTTCCTTATTACGGCTCGGTGGATTTGAAACCCATAAGCGGAACAGCAACCGTCTATCTCTTCTCACTGACGATTGCTCTTCTTTCAAATGTTTTAATTCTCATTATATTACCAAAGTTGAAGATTTAGCGTTGCATTGGAGTTCAAAATACATTTTATTTGAGCATTCAGTGTAAAGACCTGCCCTGTACAACGAGAAATATCATTTCAGATGTAGCCCGTATCTTTGATCCTCTAGGATTTTTAACTCCTCTCTCTTTGTTTGAAAAACTCTCATTCAACCTTTTTGGACCATCGGATTCGGTTATAATAATGAAAATCCTCTTTGTTTTATCTACTCAGAAATTTCAAATATTGTTCAATCTTCAGGTTTTTCGTAACTTGTTCCACCCTAAAATGACTAACTGCATTCTTCGTGGGTTCTCAGATGCTAGTAAGTGTTGAGAACTATGTCAACGAACATACCCAGGTTGACGAACAACGAACAGATCTAGGTTAAAGACAGACTAGCTAAAGTCGTATGAAGTACCAAAATGAAGTGTCTTGTTTTATATCAAATCACAGCATGGCGCAGTCGTTATGAATCGTATGTTCCATAAATTCAAAACAAAGTAATCAACAGGGAATATTGTTCTATTCCTACCTTAGAACAAATCACCCATAAATTAAGAAATGCAAAAGTATTCAGTACACTGGATGCCACCCAAGGTTTCTACCAAATTCCATTAGATAAAGAAAGTGCTGAATTATGCACTTTTGGAACACCGTTTGGGCGTTATAAATTTCTACGGCTACCTTACGGAGTATATTCAGCTCCAGAGGTGTTCCAAAACAAATTCAAGGAAATATTCAACATTCACGGTGCCGATACTTATATTGACGATATTATAGTGTGGGGAAAAGATAAAAGAGAACACGATGAAAGACTGAAGCAGATCTTTGAAATTGCAAAAGAAAATAATGTTGAATTTAATTTAAATAAGTGTAAGTTTGGTCAAACACAAATTTCCTATTTAGGACATATAATTTCAGGGGAGGGCATTTCTCCCCAGAAAGAAAAAATTAAAGCAATAGAAAATATGCCGAGACCTGAAAATAAATTAGACGTACAAAGAGCACTAGGAATGCTAACATATGTAAGTTTATTAAAAATGTTTTAGTAGCCACAGAGCCACTGAGAGTTCTTATGAAAAAAGATGTAGTTTTCAGATGGGAAAATGAACAAGAAGAAGCGTTTCAAAATTTAAAAAATGCTTTTGTGAATGAACCCATATTACAGTTTTACAATGTAAATGCTGAGACTGTGGTATCGGTGGATAGCTCTCAATCAGGTCTAGGAGCTTATCAGGTCTAGGAGCTTGCTTACTTCAAAATAACTTCACTTGTGCTTATGCTTCACGTGCGCTCACTGAAACACAGACTAGGTGGGCCCAAATAGAAAAGGAACTTTTTGCAATTATTTTTGGACTAACCAAATTTCATGAATATGTTTATGGCAAAAAAGTGATACTGGAAACTGACCACCTACCGTTAATTTCTATCTTCAAAAAACCACTAGATAAATGTCCAGCTCGACTACAGCGTATGCTGTTACAATTACAAAAATATGATTTTCAAGTTAAACACAAACCAGGCAAACAATTAATAATTGCAGATGCCTTATCTAGAGCTTTTTTGAAAGATGAGTCAGATAATAGCTTGGACAGTGACATACAGTCACAAGTATGCATGGTAGTATCAGTGTTGAGAATAGCAATTTTTCATGACAAGTTCTCTTTAATATGTGTTCTGTGAGTAGATATAAGCTTCTTGAAAAATAAGTGTTCTGTGTTAGTTGGTTGATGTATGTAAAAAGAGTCAATGTAAGAAATATATATCAAGTATTGGGATAATAAACGAATTACAAGGAAATAAACTTGAAGTATCTTTCTCACTTTTAACAAACAGTGATACCCAAAAGAAAGCAGTTCTTTCATCAATCAGAAATAAATGTAACTCGGGGCAAATTGAATGAATTAGTACAGAAAACTTCGGAAGACGATACATTGAAGTTACTAAAAAATGTCATCCTAGAGGGGTGGCCAAATACCATCAAAAAAGTTGATGAAAAATTAAAAATATTCTGGAAATACAGACACTTCAGTGTCACCAAATTCCAATTCAAAAAATTCACACATGATTGGAAATTTAATCATGTCATGTCTTCCCCGACATATGCTCAGTCGAACGGTATGGCAGAGCGTAACATTCAAACGGCAAAAGAAAATTCAAAAAAGTATAAGAAGACAAAAAAGGTATATACCTAGCGTTACTCTTGTATAGAAATATGCAAATCGATAATAGTCATTCTCCAGCAGAGATTTTAATGTCACGAAAGTTGTGGTGTATAATTCCTTGCAAAACCAACGAATTAAAGCCTAGAGTCATAGACATAAATAGGTATAATAAAGTCTTGAAAAATAAGGCAGAGAAAATGACCCAACAATATAATAACAAAGGTGTTAAAATACTTAGTTCATTGAAAAATAACGCTAATGTATACATACAAAAAAAAGCTAACAGTGATTGGTTACCTGGTACAGTGCTGGAAAAAATTAGAAAAAAAACATATAGAGAGTTAAAATGGAAAATGGTTCAATCCTAGTCCGTAATAGAAGGTTTATTCAGTTGAACAAAAACAATTCTATAATTAACTANGAATTCGCAGTTTTGTTTGTGCGGAGTTTTGTTTTGTCACTCTTTTCTTTTCCTACGACGGTAATAATGTTTTTATTTAGTATACAAATTCAATTTAAATTTTGTATTTTATATCGAACAAAGTGGCCACATCATGGCCACTTTGCCCAACTCCTAAGGGCAAAGTGGCCATTTGGTAGAGTTGAAGAAAAAAAATTTTTTATCAAAAATTTACCGAGATAAAGTCATAATAAAATTTGCCTTATGTAGCTAAGTATATTGGATATCATATGTTAATATATAGTTTATTTCTTATTTATTTTCTTCAAGATATAAAGGAATATACCTTAGCATGTCCACTTTGCCCACCTTTCCCCTACAATCCACAAATGCTTTCCTGAAAGAAATTCATGAAATCTTGCGATTTGAAGACATATTATATAAATCATATTTCAGTATGACCCACATAATCAATTTGATAGGAACCAGTATAGTATTTCATTGGAGAAAAAAAATGTGAAAAGTACAAGGATTCACATCTGCTTTCCTGAAAAAAAGTAATGAATTCTTACTATTTGAAAACACCTTCTATTAATCATATTTCCAAATGCCCCACATAATACTTTAATAGAAACCAGTGTACTATCTCGTAAGAGACATGAAATATTGGAATCTGTTTTCCTGTTTCATTAAATCTTGCCATTTGAAGACACATTCAACAAATCGTATTTCATCATCATCTACATAATCAATTTGATAGGAACCAGTGTAAAATTTCATTTAAGAAATAAAATATGAGCAGTACAATTCACATCTGCGTATTGAAGAC